GCGACTACCAAATTAAATCAGGACTCCGTGCACCCTTGAACTAATGGGGTGAACCTTGGACTAATGGAAACGATCCTTGGACTAATGGAAGCGATCTCTGGACTAAAGGGAACGACCTTTGGACTAATGGAAACCACCCTTGGATAATGCAAACATCCCATATTAATGTGAGTATTCTGTAGCCATTTATGCAGTGGTACTCGGATCCACACGAATATGAACGATGTGATGGCATGGACTCTCTGGTATTCAGATGCAGCCGAACATGAACAGTGTTATGGTTCGGGCACGGATGTCGTTCACCTCCCTCGTTGCTCAACTTCACAGCGTCAAAAACGCGATATGTGGTGTACGCGGTACTTCTGTCTATCAGAGAATACGAAAGCCTAGTTCGTGCCACGAGGGCCACATCGGAAGAGACCGGCCAAGTACGCATGTTTTGCTCTTTTACGCTCCGGCGGAGCCAGTAACAACACTGACAAAAACTATCAGAACAATAATAGTAATTACTAGAATAGTTATAACAGCAGTATTCATAGTCATAAGAACCGTCGTTATAGCCACCATCATGACCATCGCCATCGCCATCACCATCACCGCTACCACTTTCTCCATCCCTATCATCACGTCACCATCGTCCCTGTGAGCGTTGCCACCATGGGCCACAGCCATCACCAGCCAGATCAGCATCAACAACACCATCATGCCCATCCTCACCATCTTCATGATCAGAATTGCTGCCAGCATTGCCATAACGACAAGAAATTTCACCTGCTCCACAGTTCACTGCTGTTACTGTGATGCTTTGTTTGGAAGTTGCCATGCCGCATTGTTCCGTTTCGCACTGACCTCACCTACTGCGGGAGTGTGGAGGCGGCAGGGGTAAATGATCCTGCTCAGAGAGGCCGCTTGAGAGTCACGCTTCAGGACTGCTCTGGTGATTGCGCCACGCTCCGTGCGCAGTCAAATGCGGTGTCATGGCACAAAACTGTGACGGGTTGTGCAAGCATTGGGACTGGGAGAAGGTCTCAAGTGAGAGTCAATCTGACATGACCAGATTGCTAAAGGTCCATTTCCCGGCTTCCAAAGACAATGGCAACCTCCACAGCGCGGAGTGGACCGGCTTTGAAGCATCGTCTTCCCCTAGAGGTTTATGGGTGCACCAGGTGAGGAGCTGAGCATGGTCGCATGTGTGTTGGACAGGTACATCAAGTTCATTGCAGCATTCTTCAACCTGGAGCAGACTGCTACCCAGCACTTTGACTCTACCGTGGCAGCCTACACTGCTTACGCGGCCCAAAGCAATGGCCCCAAGGTGGCCTGGATCCAATGGAACAGCTGGACCAATAAGTTTGAGGTGAGCCTGGTCGCCTACAAGTCCCAGCTGGTGTCAGCAGCAGGCGGCCAAAACGTGGATGGTAGTGCGCTTGAGGCTGCTGGGATGGAAGCCACAGATGCCGTCTCCGGCAACCCGCTTGCCGGCAAGACCTACAGCCTTGCAGCAAACGCCACAACCATGGAGGCCATGGCCAACCAGCTGATGTCTGCCCTTAGAGCCTTGGATTCACAAAGAAGGAGGGCCGCTGCTGTTTTGTCTAACAGCTCGTGCCCTAAGGTGATGTGGACATTGTCATCGACGAGAAATACGCCTTTAGTCCAGCTTCCTACACCTTCGACAGCTTCCTCTCTAGCATGTTCTTGACCAACACGAGTGACCTGAAGTTTGTGAAGGCCATCCGTGTAGGGAATTGATTTAGGTGCTGCAGGGCTGACGGCATGGCCATATGAGGACAAGAAGGTCCTGCGGGTGGATGGCACTCTCAGCGAGGCAAATGGCTTGGACTGGTTTGCTCCTCGCCCTTGGAGCGGTCGAAACTGATGTGTGCCCATAACAAGTTTGTGCAAATAGCAATGGCATTGATGGCATTGCATCTGAGGAGTCGCGGATTGCCTATCCTGACTGGGCCGTGGAGGGCCTTGCTCGCTATTTGCAAGACGACATGTCGAAGCAGCAAATGTTCCTGGGCTTCTTGAGCTGTCTGTACCTCAATATGAGCTTGGTAGTCCAATGTGATGTTTTTGAGCACGGAGCAAAATTTGGTGAGATGCCTCCGCATGCTGCAGATAGTGGATGATAGTGGATCCCCTCGCGCATTGCAACCGTATCCTTCAGGGCTGTGTCCACATCCTTAGGGTACGAGCATTGAGTTGAATCAGTGTAGTTGAAGCCAGGATGCATGCGAGCACAACCTTGTGATGTGCTCCAATGACGCAAAGTCAGCGGCTTTCACGCTTCAGGTATTTCCGCAATGTGGCCACCGGAGAGCAGCCAACCGTTGTCTCCGCGTCCGCATGCACCGAGGCCGCCTGTCTACATTGCAGCTAGATAAATTGTTTTGCAGTAGGTGAGGTTCATTTCCCTGATGGTGCTCCGTTGCAGAGTCTTTCTCGAATCAAGGCAGGTAGTACGCGATCTTTGCCGTCAGGAGTAGAGCTTGTCATGGATTGGCCAGTGGCATTTTGTCCGTTGTATCAGCTGGGATCTGGTACAATCCTGAGAGCCCTCGTGCTGAGGTCCTTCCCACCTGCGATTCAAGTGCCCAGGCACGGGACCGGGTTGTGCTCACAACAGGCATTGCTGGTGCTTACTGGACTTCAAAATGACTAGCTATTCTGTTCTAGCAAGCCTGCAAATCGTTTTCATCCCTGCTGCTACTTAGGCTACTTAGGCACTTAGGCTGCAAGTTCTAACAGTTTGACGCAGTTTCCAGGCTGAAACCATCAAGACGCCGCAGGCCGCTGCAACGGCAGCTCAGCCTGGAAAGAATAATTCGGATCCCAAACGTGTGATCATGACTTGTCGCATTCCCTCTCTTCGACGCGGAAAGGAAGCTTGCAAACTGTCTTGCACACAGCTCAGCTCCTTAAGCTCAGGCACTCTGCGGAGTTTGCGGTCTGCACACCTCTGTACCTTCAGTTGGAAGTTCTAACCAGAGCCTCACAGGCCTCACAGGCTGCAGAGCGGAGCCACCCGCAAGGGCAAACCGAAGCAAACAGAAGCCTTGTATTGTGCCCCAGCACTGGTAATGATCAGGAGTGCCAATTATCAGGGGTCCAAAGCACACTTGCCCATGGCCCATGCGCACAAATGCCTCCAAGAAGCTGAAGTCGCAAGAACTTGCCAAGGACGTTTCGAGCGCACGGGGATGCTTGTCTCAAGCACGGGTTCTGCAGATATGAGGCCTGCGTAAGTACATGCATCTCCTAGAATCCCTAGAAGCCTAGAACTGACAAACGGCCAGCAATGGGGCTGCCCAGTTCGATGTACGTTGCATCTGCAGAGGGAAGAAAGCTTGAGACGTATTTGTTGGGATCTTTGTCAAATCTGCGTGTCTTGGCTTTAACTAATTGAGACGCCAAGGCTTGGCGGCGTGTGCTGCAGCCTCGCTGGCCCTGGCGCATTCTTTCTCAGTTTGATGACTGTCACTCCTTGCCTATATAAGCCTAGCCGCTGTCAGTCGTGCCATACGGAGCAGATTTAGAAACTGGCTTTGCTCAGCGAACATCAATGCATTGCGCCCTACAAAGAGTGTTTTGTGACAACTGCAGTGTGCCCTCCCTGCATGTTTTCGCCGGTCAGCTCCGACATTGGCTAGACTTCCGCGGTGACTCTTGCTT